ATTACACCAAGTATACTGACTTCCTTGAAAACCCATATCCGAAAGAGCACAATGATCCATTACATTTCTAAAAGCTTCTATGTGAGTTGAGTCATAAGTAGAAGTGTAAGAAGCCTCATGGCTCCAAGAAAGAGCATTGAAATCTCCCCCAACAAGCCACGGAGAATCATCATGATTATAAATTCGGCGAAGAAACTCCCAAGTTTCATTTCGTTTATGAGGTACTGAATGACCATAAAATCCTGTGAAGCGCCAAGATTTAGATTCATACATGATTGAGCAATCAATACAATGCAGAGAGTAAGAGCAAATAGAAATGTCTATATTATCCTTCTAAAGCAAATATAAACCACCACTAAGACTACCTCTACTATGAGAGAAATCATTCTATTGTTGTAGCGCTGGTGAAAGGTGTTTTAACGGGTTTTGATACCAGAGCCATGGACCATAAGGATATTTTTTACGAGATGGCAAGCTACCTGTTTCAGAAAGACAAACATCATAAACTTTAAGAATATAATCAAGCTTACTGCAATGGTAACAGAAATCAGGAAGTCGTTCATATTGGATTGGAATTCAAACACCACCCATAGAACATACGTTAATTACAACAATAAAGGTAAAAACAAATATATTTATAATAAAACTTGAAGTCAATGCATGCAATTTCCATCCCCGTCTAATGGATGTGATTTACCTTAAATCACAATTATTGGCTGCAACTTTTTTTCAGAAAATCGCAGTCAATGACTACATTTACCTTAAATCACAACTGTCAGCTACATTTTACCTTAGATGGCAGGTCATGGCTATGATTTCACTACTCTATTTTTTAAAATAGTTTCTAATCTACATTATCTATGTCATTATTTTTAAAAATAACATTATTTATAAAAAAAATCCATATAATGTTCCAAAAATTATTTTCTCAAGATCCACATTTTAAATATAGTAGTGTGTGTATATATATATCATATAGATAGATTTAGATTAGTTGGAGCCCCACCGGTAAGTGTTGTACACAGAGAGAAAAAAAAAATTAGTTTAGGGTTCCATTCTCTCGTCCCTTGCCAAACCCAATCAAGCCACATCCCCGCTGCAACCTGCCGCTTTGCAGGAAAGAAAGGGTATATTTTTGAAATTCGGTCTGGTTTTCCAATGCAAATCGAAAGGGGAAATTGACACAAATAACCCTCAAAAGTTTTTGAAATGCTCAAATGACCTACTCTCTTTAATTATGCCCAAATGATCCACTTTAATATTTAATTGAATTTAAATTGAAAGGAAATTACAGCAATATCCCTCAATTCAAAAAAGAAACTCTTCAAGATTTCTTCTCTGTTCGAGATTTCTTCTTCGTTCTCCCATTGCTAATTCCTCTTGCAAGAAAGTTAATCTTAAGATTAAAACTTCGAGGTAAGTTCGATTTCTGTTAACGTATATAGTGAGCAATCGATTTTGAAGATTAGGACTTGGTTTTTTATTGCTTCTAAGGAGTTAATGGTCTTTTTTTTTTCCGTCGATTCTGTTTTCCGATTCTTAGATGAAGAAATATGTGAATGATAAACCATCAATTTAGTTTTCCATCGACTTAGATTTCATTTTTGGGAAAGGAAATCTACTTTGTTTATTTGTTCTTGATTTTTTGCTCTTTGTGGTTCTTCTGTGTTGTGGTGGTGGTGTAATGTTTGTTGAAATGTCGGAGGTTGAGGTGATGGGAGGTTGAAGAAGACTGAACTCGGGCGAAATGGGAGTAACCTCTAGCGTGGTTTAGGATTTAGGGAGGTTTTGGACGCTCTGGAAAATTTCCTGGGACAACCTTAGCCGAGTTTGAGCTTGAGGTATTTGAAATATATTCAACCTCGGGCTCAACCTCGAGGTTAACCACAAGCTTGAGCCCGAGGTTTTTGAAGAGGCTGAGCCTCGAGGCTCAACCTCGAGGTTCAGCCTCTTCCGAATACCTCGGGCTCGACTTCGCCCGAGGTTGAACCTGAGAAAAATAACAGAGAGCATAAATGTCGCGCGAGGTTGTGTGTATTTGAATTCCCTTGGGCCAACCTCGCCCGAGGTCGTTCCCGAGAAATTGGACAGAGGCTTAGAAACCTCGAGCCAGGTTTGGAATTTCTTCAACCTCGCACGAGATCCATTCCACTTCTCCCGAGTTCACCCTTCTTCTTCAACCTCCACCACAAATATTTCTCAAACAAACCTCATACAGAGACCACATAACTCAATTTCATAGAAAATACACTAAAGAACGAAAAACAATGAACGAAACAAAGAGTAAACAGTCTTCCTATTTTTTGAAAAATGAAATACACGAGAAACGAAACCTAAATCGATGCAATGTTATTCATGTTTTTGTTCATCAAAAAACCACCGGAAAACGGAATCGACGAAAAAACTTAACATTCAACTACTTAACAACAATGAAAATCAAAACCCTAACATTCAAATTAATGGAAAATAACAAAAATTAACAGAAATTGAACTTATCTCGAAGGGAAACGGAGAAGAAATTTGAAGGAGAAGACAAAGGGATGAACGGTTTGATTTTTGAACAGAGGGGTAACAATGTAATTTCTTTTCAATTTTAATTCAATTAAATATTAAAGTGGGTCATTTGGACACAATTAAAAGGGGTGGATCATTCGAGCATTCCAAAAACTTTTGAAGGTTATTGGTGTCAATTTCCCAATCAAAAGCTACGTCATCCGATCAACAACTTCCTTCTTAAGAATTCAATCAGAAATTCCGCCGGTCACATCCACCACCGCACCGTCGCCATCGTGTCCACCAAGTCCGTACACGGCTGCGATTGATGAATCTATTAGATCCACCAATTGATTCGACTCTCGTCGGCAGCGAGAGAAACAGAATATTCAGGGGAAAATTGACAAAATAAGCCTCCTGTAGGGGCCTATTAAGTTTTTTAATCGCCCTTCTCAAAACACAAGTTTTATAGTCATTTGCTGACATCACCTACTTTGCCAAATGACCTCCAATGCCCCTCTTTACTCGGGTACCAAATTTTAGTTTTCCCTCCCCCCTTACTTGAAAACACTCAATTTCTCTCTCATTATTTTTTGTTGTTTTGCTTCTCTCATCTACAGGCAACTCTCGATGCTTGAACTCCAGCATCTATCGGTCTTTCATTTCTCTCTCACTATTAGGGTTGTTTTGCTTCTGTCATCTACAGGCGACTGACTGTCGATGCTCGAACTCCATTATCTATCGGTCTTTGTTTTGAAATGTTTTGTTGGGCTTGTTCTCATATAAGTTATTTATTTGTTTGTTTACTGGATTGTTGATTTTTAGACGTGGAGGGAGAGAAGCTGACGGACAGGGCGTGAAGGCAAGAAGGAGATCGTTAGCGCGTTAAATGGATATGGATAGCTACTTCGAGGATGATCTAGATCGAGAGCGAGATCAAGAGCGTTCATGAGCGAGAGCGAGATCGAGAGCGTTCATGAGCTTGATCGAGAGCGTACAGCGAGAGTGTGCATGAGCTTGATCGAGAACGTACAGCGAGAACGTGCATAGGCTTGATCGAGAGCGTGCATGAACGAGAGCGAGAGAGATGAAAAGACGTGAAATTTAATTCTTTCAATTGTTGGTTGATGTTCTTTAAAGGCTGCATTTATTTATTTTTTTTATACTTATTCGATTTTAGTCTATTGAGAATAAACGGGTGCAGTGGAAAATAGCAGCAAGAATGCAAAACAGATAACGAAAGAGATCGTGAATAAGCTTGAACGAGAATGAGCTTGAATGAAAATGAGACGTCATCGTGAACGATTAACAACACCATACGATAAGTGGATAAATGTGGAAGAAATAGTAATAAGTAAGCGACCGTGATGATAATTAAGGATAAATTTTAGAAGTACAACGAAAATTATCACGAACAAGAATGAGCGTGAAAGATAAAGAAGACAGTAGGATATTGAGAAAGTAAGCACTAACAACAAATAATTGATTAATTAAAGTAGCAAATAGGGGCTCCATCCGTTCCATTACAAAAGTTTTTTTTAGTAGCTTAAACAAAACAACTATAAGCTACTACTAGAATGAGATTTTAAAAATTATTATTATTATGGTATCGGCGTAGACGGGCCAGTAACAGAGCCACCCTGTCCTCCAGATGAAGTCGTTCCTCCTTCTCCTCCTTCAGCAATCCCTCCAGCAAATCCCGCCTTTCTTCAACCCGGGCTAACCTATACCTCGTGTTGTTGAGCTCGTGTTGCGTTCGACGTAGCTCTCTCCCGAGCTGGTCGTTTTCTTCCCGTGCTTGTTGAAGAGGACCATTACTTGGCACTCCGTTCTCTGCAAATGAGGAAGGATGGTTTGAGATAGGACTGGTTGCTCCGTCGGAAGAGGAACCGTCCGAGTCGTTAGATGCTGACATGTTTGCTTCTGAAAAATAAATGTTAGATACTTCTAATCTGGATGTCGTTGTTGTGTACTTTGTGGTATCTATATATAGAGAAATTTGGTTGGTTTCATAATGGATGTGAAGACAAGGGAAAATTGACAAAATAATTAAATCGAAAATTGGGATAACGGGTAGGAAGAGTAATTAATTACTGCATTGGAAAGGTGGAAAGACAACTGGGATGAAGGATTTGAAAGAGCGCATTAATTAACCACCCTTTTACTTAACCTCTTAATTATAAGATAAGGGAAATGGGTATGGATACATACGTCTAGAATGCGAGAGAGCGAGAAAGAGAGAAATCGAGAAAGCGAGAAAGCGAGATAACGAGAAAGATAGGTTATCGTTGCGATAAATATACATGGAGAAGAACGATAGCGAAAGAGATCGAGAGCATAACATCGAGACAGTGAGAGCGAGACAACGAGAGCAAGAAAGCGAGAACGAGACAGCGAGACAGCTAGAGAGAGACAGCGAGAGCGAGACAGATTCCAGATACTGAAGAACAAATATACTACTACAATTTTTGGGTGTTCTCATAGAGGAACTGCCCTATCTGATTGACTTACACCGTCCCCCCATATATGCATGCAGATGTTCGTGCCATCGTAATTGGGTTAGTACATGTCTGTCTATTGTGACCCGATGTACGACATCGAGAACACTTGTTGACAACACGACGCTCACCGGTTGAGGCGATCTGTTGCGTTCTACGCCGGCCTGCACGTTTAACAAGTCCTGGTGGTTGGACGGGAATATGCTGGTAATTAGCTGGCCTTTTCCATTCCGACATGTGGCCTATCGGTAAAATTGGTTCAGCGTAGGCACTAATTAGGGAGTCCACGCTGTAGCATGGATCGATCAACGTGTGGCAATTTATATTCTTGTGCCTCGCTGCTGCAATTGCGTGCGAACATGGAATGCCCATGTACTGGAACTCCATGCATGTACATGTACGGGCATTCAAATCAACCGTCCCGTCCAAGCCACCGTCCTCAACATGAAACATGCACCAGTCGACTGGTTTGACTGTATAGCGACGAGACTTCTCAAACTGTAGTGCAAGTTGCTCTTCTGCATAGTCTGAATGAGAGGTGTTTTGGGTGGACCAGTGAGTCCTTCTTACGTGGAACCATCTTTGTAGCAAGTCGCGGATGAACTCGACAATCTTAGTGATAGGTAACTCTATAGCCTCTCGAAGGAGGACATTTACCGACTCAGCGCTATTTGTCGTCATGTTTTCATATCTTCTACCAACTTGGTAGCATCGGGCCCACCGTTCTACCCCAATTTCTTGTAAGTATTTGGCAAGTGAACCCGATCCAACCGATAGTATCTGGTTCCAGTAGTATGTGAACTGTGACTTCCGATACGCATACGCTGCATCCTGATACAATTTGTAAAATGCAGCATTCTTGAATCAAGTCTTTATGTTGTTCCCTAGGTGATAAGTGCATATAACATGGAATGCGTCCGGGAATATCTCACTTGTTGCATTGGTGATACTTACATGTCGATCAGATATGAATACAAGTTCTGGTGGGTGTCCGATCATGTCCTTCAAGTTCTTCATAAACCACTTCCACGATGCATCGCTTTCGTTGTCTACAATCGCGAATGCAAGTGGATATATTTGATTATTCCCGTCCATGGCGCACCTATTAGTAGCACTCCTCTGAACTTCCCCTTCAAATGTGTGCCATCAACCATAATTACACGCCTTGTGATTGACTAAAACCCTCTAATGCTGGCACCCAATGCCATGAACAGGTATTTGAAGCGAACCTTCAGTCTCGATGTGGAAAATAGTACCTGGATTCTCTATTTTTATCGCTTTACCGTACGCATGGAGATGCATGTAGGAGTCCTCCGATCGGCCCCTAACAATAGCGTATGCTAACTCTCGTGCTCGATGGGCCTTGTCATAACTTATGTTCACCCGGAACTCTTCGCGGACATCCTCCTTAATATGCTTTATCTTGTAAATACGACTGGTTCTAGCAACTCTATCCTTAATAAGATTCGCTACGACCCAGCTGCTAGCCTGTTTGTGGTCGTGGTTCACAGTGTCAATCGTGCAGGTGTGTGCATCTACATACTTTGATGTACAAAATATCGAAGATTTACCGACGGAGTGGGCTGCAACCCTCCAATTGCATGTATTGTCGATGCAGCGAACAACGAACTTTGATTTAGTTGACCTACTGGCCTTGTATTCACGATTGACTGTGCACCTGCAACAAATTGAACAAGATATATGATGACAAATTAAGCAGATAGAGAAACGGAAACATGCAAGTAGTTCAAAAATTTAATAATTGAACATGATACATAATCACGGATTAAGAAGATAGAGAAAGGGAAACACGCAACTAGTTGAAATACAAAATGTAAAACACTGTAATTTTTCTCGATCTCGATGTTTCTCGATTTTGCTCTACCTATTTCACACCCTATAATTGCAAATCAATGAAGCTTCTCTCGTTCTCGATATTTCTCGCTCTCAATCTTTCTAGCTCTCGATGTTCTAGCTCTCGATATTTCTAGCTCTGGATTTTTCAAGTTCACTGTATCGATCACGATGATTCTCGATTTCGCTCTTCCTATTGCACACTCATGATAATTGTAAATCACTGGAGATTCTCTCGTCCTCGATATTTCTCGCTCTCGATCTTTCTAGCTCTCGATGTTCTAGCTCTCGATATTTCTAGCTCTCGATTTTTCATGTTTACTGTATTTCTCAATCTCATTTTTGGCTCTGGCTATTTCAACATCAGCCCCCCAGTATTATTGGTTTTCAAAAACAAGATTTTCTCCTTCATCGATTCATTTCCATGGCGCCAATTACGTATTATTTTTTTCTTCTCTGAAAGCCCTAGATGTGCAGTGTAAAAAATCCACAAAAATAGCAAAAGAGACAGACGAACAATAGCTAAAATAGTGGAAATTAAAATGAAAATCTTAAGCAATTCGAGAGATAAATGCATTAACCCAAAGTTAACGATGAAATCTCCTTCGTTGTAATCTGCTACCAAAATCACTTCGTCTCACCGCTTGAAGACGACAGGGTCAGAGTTACCTTAAAGAGTCGCAATCGAAATACGAAGGAGAACGAGAACGAGATTTAGAGAAATGTAATTTCAATCGCAGGTGAAGACAGTCAAATTTGAGTCGAGTGAAGAATGCTACAGTGTGAGTGCGATAAAGATGGAACGGACGTGGGAAAATTGAAAGTTCCGACGATTCGTATTACCCAAGTAAGGTAGGAGGGAATTACATGAGGTTTATTTTGTCAATTTCCCCAATATTCAGGTCAGATTCCGATGTCCTCCGTCGCCGTCGTTTGTTAGACGAAGACGGTGATGATCGGATCGGAATATATCTAGATCTGCTCCCCATATCACCACCCGAATTCTTAGAACCCGTGAGTACAATGAATCCACGCGAATAAACGTATATCAAATCACGATTATCACGAATTCCTCGTGAAAAACGTGTGATATCACTGACCAATAACCCAAAGGAAGCAAATGGATGGAATCCGCATTCGCCAATGGGAAAAAAATTCCTCCTATTTTACTAGACGAAGTTGAAGAACAACTTCAATTTCTTCCTCCAACAGCCATGGCGGAAGTGGGGATGCTGAGCAGAGATCAACGATGGTCGCTCACGGGGAAGGCCGCTCTCGTCACCGGCGGAACCCGCGGAATAGGGTTTGTTCAATACTCGCTCATTTTCTTCAATCCAAATTAAAATTAAACTCTAAATCCTAAACCCTAGTTCCGATCCTCTGTTTTTTTTCTCTGTTTTACGATTTTAGGCGTGCCATTGTGGAAGAATTAGCCGCACTCGGGGCCAGTGTTCACACTTGCTCTCGTAACCAGGTGGAGCTTGATCAAATCCTGCAACAATGGCGGAATCAGGGCTTTCAAGTGAGCGGATCCGTCTGTGATGTGCTTGTCAAAGAACAGAGGGAGAAACTGATTGAAACTGTTTCCTCTCTGTTTGGTGGCAAACTCAATATTCTGGTAAAATCTACTCTTCAATTAGTTGAAAACTGATCAAGGGGTTGAGTTTGTGATGGGTTTTGTTTTTTTTTTTTTCAATCTAGCTAGGTTAATAATGCTGGGTTGAGTTTGTTCAAGAGTAGCACAGCAGTTACAGAGCAAGACATTTCATGTGTTATGGGTACAAATTTTGAGGCATCATTCCATTTTTCTCAACTTGCACATCCATTACTGAAAGCCTCAGAATCTGGAAACATTGTGTTCATCTCCTCAGTTGCAGGCGTCACTTCCTTTCCATTTGGTACTCTGTATTCAGCTTCTAAAGGTATAAAGTTTGACCTTCCCAATGTTTCTTTGTTCTTTCACTGATTCATCTAATCTTATTATCCTTCAAAACCATTTGATGGTCATTAATAGGAATAAATTTAAAGCATGGTGGTAGATAGCAAGTACTTAGTTAGAACTTAATATTTGTACAGATTTAATTCACACTCGAATGTAGCGAGGTTGGATGGTTGTCTGGTGAGATTAGTGAAGGTAGCCCAATACTAACTAAAATCCAAAAAGAAAAGTTACTTCAAAGTTAAACATTGCATTTTCTTCTCTTGGCTATCATTGAGTGTAAAAAACTGTTGGGAATACGATCAGAGTTAACCCGATGACCAAAATTGAGGAGAGTTCTCTTCTACTTTCAACTCCTAAAGAGATTTGGGATGTTGCTCAAGACATATTCTCTCATTAGGAAAACATGATTCTTCGTAGGGCATTAAACTTGATGCTCCAGCAACGCTGAAACTTGGCCCAAAATGCTTAAAATGAGTGAATTTTGTATACTTTTGGAAATAATACTAGATGGCTCACTCTCATGAGCTTTCTTTTCTTGAATGGTTGTTGCTTAGTCTAAATCACTTGCATGAGAGAAGAGACTTTGAAGTGTAGAAAGATATAAGTATATAATAGACAATGTTATACCGTTGTGTAAATGTAGAAGGTCGATTGTCTCTAACAAAACCATGGAAGGGCTGACACTTTTTTCTTTTCTTTTTTGTATTTGATTATGATCTGATTATGATCTGATTATGATATTACTAAGTGAAGTAAATTGGTATATGTTTGTGAAGGGGCCATAAATCAGATAACAAAGAACTTGGCATGTGAATGGGCAAAGGATAACATTCGTGCAAATACAGTGGCACCATGGGTGATCAACACTCGTGGAGATGCTCCACTCGTAACCCCTTCACTATGCCATTTTATTATCACTAGAAACAAATTTGAATGGATTTTAAACATGAACATGAAACATGTTTTGCAGAATCCGATGGAGAAATACGCCATGGATCGGGTACTTGCTGTTACTCCGATGAAACGTGTTGGAGAGCCGAAAGAAATTTCGTCGGTTGCTGCATTTCTTTGCCTTCCGGCTGCATCATATATTACTGGCCAAGTCATTTGTGTTGATGGGGGCCATACTGTATTTGCTTACTCTCTTGGCTAATGTTTGAGATCTAAAAAATTCTATGTTAGGGACAATTTTCTCAGTTCAATGATGGAATAGTTTGTCTTTGTCTACCCTTTTGGCACGCCTTAGCATTGAGTTTCCAGTCTTGTCACTTTTCGACCTCTTTAAGCACTTCTTTGAGCACTTATCACGATCAATTCCTTTTTCAAATCCTGTGGCAGCTGCACGAGCCTTTCTTGCATGCCATGACCTACGAATGGGAAGAATCCTAGAACAAAATGAGAGGTAGCTAACCAACTTCTAGAAGAGACATAATTGATTGCATTAATTTCAGTAGCTATGCCATCCACGGAATTTAAAGAACCTAAAAGAGCAAGATACGAATTTGAGAGGTTTAAATTCTTCAATTCTTTGAAGCAAAGGAAAAGAAGCAAAGGAGGATTAGGAAAACAACAAAAGTAATACATTCATCAATGTTGTCAAAAAGCAATATATTTCTTTGGGGCTGGTAAGATGATAGGTAAATGAGTTTCACTCTGGGCCTTTCCTTAGGTGGAGGGCGAAGAAGGGTCTCCGGAGGTGAGATACCACTCTGAAAAGGGACAGTCTCAGGTAGACAGTTTCTATGGGTCGTAGGCCTCCCAAAAGGTAACGGAGGTGTGCATGCAAAGGTTTCCTCGGGCCAGACGGAGATTGGTCCTCGAGTGCAAAAGCAGAAGGGAGCTTAACTGCAAGACCTACCCGTCGAGCAGGAACGAACCGAGTGGAAGGGCCGTTTATTCTTCCAAATTTTTTACACTAAATTTTCCACTTCAAAAATCAAATGGACACTGAACTCATGTATTAGGGACGTGCTCTTTTATTATAGTTTATTGTTTTTATGATTGCTTTTGTTTAATTTTTATTATGTATAATATTTATTTTTCTAAATTTTCACAATGAATTTCAAAGAAGTACCAAAAATGGTTGAAAAGTTTTTCTCACAGTTGATTCTCGATATTTCAATGTATGGTATTAGAGAAAATTGACAAAATATAATATATCTTGTATTTAAGGTTGAAAAAAAATGTCATAGTTCAGCATTAATTGGCATATATGTCCAATCAAAAAATTGTAAGTTTGATTCTACCAACATATGTTGTACTAAAAAAAGAAAAAAAAATCGTCTTGTACTTAGACATTAAAAACAGAGAATTTTATTATGGAAATTGTCATTTCTATACCTTTATTTTAGAAGTTTGGGTGGTTTTCTCAAAACTTTATTTTTTATTTTTTTTGCACTTCGTGACGTAAAATACCTTTTGAAATTACTTTGTATTTACCTATTTGTTAAGGATTAAAAAAAAAAGGAAGCAAGTCTTGTGTGTATACCCTACCAGAATTATTTGGGATTTTTTAAAATAATGTTTCTATAAAACTAATTCCAAATATATACCATCTACCAAATTATTTCCAACGATAATGTTTGAAAAATTGTAGCCAATCTCTAGGAGGTAGAAAGTAATTTTAAAGTGCACTTTTATGTCTGGAAGGACAAAAAAAAAGTTGGGAGAAAACGACCCAAACTTAGAAAAAACTTTGGAGTACAGAAATAACAATTTCTCTGATAATTTTAGTAGGTCATGCATTTCTTCTAAGTCCGTACCCTTGGTGAAATATCTTAGTTGTTTCTTTTTTAGTACAACAATTTGGGGATATGGGAGATCGAACCTCCAATTTCGAAGGAAGGAGTACATGGCAATAATTATTGGGCTATGCTCATGTTGGCAGTAAAATATCTTACTTAAATAAACTTAGGTTGTTCTTTTCCTAATGTTGAATGGGAACTGGTCGAATAAGTAGGGACACGACTCGATCCTTTGTTTCTTGATGCTCTATGCCATGCCCATGTCCATCTCGATGTTGATACATGCACTGAGCCATTCGAGCAAGATTTTTAGCCATCTCAATGAACACTTGAGAGAAGACGCAATTCTCAGCTTCAACTTTGTTTAATTTCTTCCATGCATCGTCTATTAAATGTCTTATATAATCACGAGCATCATTCTCCATGACTTCATTGTCCTTCATGTAGCATTGTATTGATTTTGGGACGTCTCCTCTTTCTAGCTCATCCTTACGTTCATCGTATGAACGTATTAGCTCAACGAAATTGGTAAAATATATGAGAGAGAATTAAATATAATTAGATTGTATTTTAATAAATTGGAAAAGTTTCTT